GCCACTGAGAAACAGTTATCTCATGTAGTGCTTTAGCTTATTGATATTGTAGCGCAGACGGTATATTATGTTGGAGATCGGTGAAATATGGGATGACTAAGTAAGTAAGGATATCAAAGCCAGAATCGGAAAAGCAAGACAAGCTTTAATTACTCCTAAGTCTGTGTGGAGGTCAACAGCACTCATCACTCAGCATGAAAAATAAGATCCGGATTTTCAACTCCAATGTGAAGTCAGTCAGTACTATTCACTATACGGATCAGAGACTTGGCCAGTGTGTCATAAAGAGCATCTCAAACAAATTACAGACCTTCATCAACAGCTAGCTGTCTTCGCTCAATACTACTCAAAATCAGATGGCTGGTCGGAAAAGATCAGAAACAGGGATCTCTGGCAATGAGCAAACCAATGGAGCAGGAACCGATTGTGCAACAAATAAGCAGGAAGAAATGGAGATGGATTGGCCATACTCTGAGGAAACAGTCAAGTGACATCACTAGACAGGCCATCGCTCGAGTGGAACCCGGAAAGTAAGCGGCGAGTTGGTCGTCAATATGAGGATGACTCGGAGGAGGTCATGTGAAAAGGAGATGAAAGCATGTGGGCAGACTTGGAGCCAGGTGAAAACTTTTGCAGAGAACCGAAGGCAATGGAGACGCGCGGCTGAAGCCCTATGCTCCTCTATGAATCAAAGGATATAATAATAATAATAAGTAAGGTCACCCAAAGTATTTTGTATTAGACTACCAAACTTGGTAGGCGAAATTAACTTATAGGGAGTGGAAGGAAGCTAAAGTTTCCCATGACAAGATATAACTTTGAGTCATAGATGCATAGGAGAGCATAACAGATTTCATCATCAAATGTATTCAGTATTTAATAATAAATAATTTTTCCTTCACGTTCCCAGTGGAACATAGGGCTTCAAGCTAGTTAGTGGCTTGGAGTTTCTGTAGCAGTGGTGTTTATTTTACAGGATGGGGTTGCTAGCCACCTCATGCCCAACCTTTCCTCTTTACCAGCATTATTTCCGGCATAGAGATGTAAAGGAGTGCATCGGCCGGGAATCGAATCCAGGACCATATGCATGGCTGGCGAGCGTGCTAACCACTGTGCCACCGACGCACACTGTACTCGCTTCGGCGGTACATATACTATTCAGTATTCAATACCCTAAAAATCCTCACAGATCATTTCTATAACCCTTAATTGATTCAGATTCTTTGCTTAAATGTCTTTTGGTTTATTGAAACTGATGTAGCGGCGGGGGGGGGGTTGTTCCTCACAAAAGTAAAAGAACGGATGAGAATATCTGCTGCTTACAACCAGATTGGTCGATATGCAGGCATACCTACTTAGGAGAGCTGAAACACCCTGATTCTAAATCTATGGTGGAAATGATCTTCAAAAATTCGAACGAATCAAATGATGGTATGACCCTGTTTTGGTGACCAACAACTATCGGAATGTAGCTCCATTGAATTGTGGATGGGACTTTAAGACATAGACTCGGAGGTTGTTCCTTAAGACGATCACACTTACTTTGGTGTGGGCACCTACGCAGTAAGTATCCCAGACTTCGTACAAACTATGAGATTATGTATAGCAAATCTCTTGGTGCCTATAAATTATGCACCAAGTAGGTGTTTTAGTAATAATAAATTATTGGAATTATAGTGCCAGTTTTCGCCAACTCTGGTATTCAATGATGTAATGAAATGTGATAACTTGAATGGATATTATTATAGTAAAAAGTTTCAACTACTTAAACAGTACGGTGTGCCAGTGATCAAGTCTTTATCAACCTCATTCAACAGCTGGCTGTCTATATGATAATGCCACGTGTCAGGCGATCTGAAACGGAAAACTCAATGAGGCGTTCTAAATGAATACAGAAGTAAGACAGAGTTGGTTGCCTATTATCACTGATGATATTCTTAATTGCGGTCGACTGGATTATGCGTCAGACTGTGGGTGAGGAGCGAGGAGACAGGAATACGCTAGACCACTGTTAAGAAGATTTAGATTTCACATACAATGTACGTCCAATGCCATAGGAACTCGAAGACTTATAGACAAATTTCATCAACAACTACCTCCTCCGTTCGCTCCATACTGAAGATCAAATGGCAAGAAATTCTGCGAACAAACCAACAGGGAAGAGCCGATCATCGCTCAACAAATATGTAAGAGAAAATGGAGATTGATTGGGCATACATTGAGGAGGTCGTTGAATGATATTGCGTGTCAGGTTGTCGAGTGGATCCCGAATGGTAAGCCACGAGTGGGTCGTCAGTGCGAGGGTGATATAGAGGAGATGAGAGATCATGGGGAATCATGAACCCAGCTGAAGAGGACAACAGAAAATAGGACAAAGTGGAGATGTATTGTTAAAGCCATATGTTTCACTCGGAACCCAAGGAAATAATAATAATAATAATGGTACAAAGTTACAAATTAATTTGTTTACTTCCTAAGCGTATATCAGTCTGTCCTACTCTAACTGATTGAATCTAGCCTGCTGCGTGGATTTCATATCTGAGCCTGTGTAGTCGCCTGAAGTAACAAACGACATTTCTGTTTAGCCGTTACATACCTACATCTTTTAAAGATCAGATCTGAATATTGCATGACAATTAAGGACATCCCTTCAAACATGTAAAGAATCTAAGAAAACTACATATTGGAAACCTTGCTATAACCATAAAAACCCAATGACTTAAGACAGTCCCCCTGAGATACTGACTAAGTTTCAACGTCTTTCCTCAATACTACTAAACATCGGATGGCGGGCCAGAAAAGATCAGCAACAGGGATCTCTGGGAATGAACGAATCAACCCAATCCAGCAAGAACTGATTGTGCAAGAAATCTGCAGGAAGAAATGGAGGTGGATTGGCTGACCATACTCTGAGAAAACAAACCATCAAGTGAGTGACACCACACACTCCAGGCCATCGCTCGAGTGGAACCCGACCGAATGGGAAGCGGCGAGTTGGTCGTCAGTGCGAGGGTGACATGGAGGAGTAGGATCATTTGAAGAGGAGATGAAAGCATGTAGATAGACGTGGAGTAAGGCGAAAACGTTGACAGAGAACCAAACGCAATGGAGACATGAGGCTGAAGCCCTATGTTCCTCTAGGAACTAAAGGAAACAATAATAATGTAGCACACAAATGTAGAGAAAAAAGAAATTCCGAAAGGACTATGATGAACAGAAATGTACGGTAGAAAGAAATAGTAACACATAGAAAGACATGAGGAATTAATGCATCTGGGAGATTATACATAGTGAACGCATTTGCATCATCGAGACCGACTTTCAGTCAATATCTCCAAGACTTTTCCCCCCTACCAACTACGCGAATAGATCAAATCAGTTAAAGAATTCAGAAACTGATGCTCAGGTTTTGATGCGACCATCCCTTACCCTTTTCCAATCTAATCCGATGAGTTAACATTGCTCTTCGAGAAAGACAGTGTTTCCACGCGTGTATTACATGTCCTAGCCATTTGGATAGGTGGGTAGTTTCACAACTTCATCATCGGTTCATTTCCCTCCGTTTTTCCAACCTCAATATTGCTCACTTCATTATGTCACTTATCATCTGTGGCCCAAGACATCTAGCCTCTTCAGGTTTTCCGACTTCAATGGCCATGTCCTACAGCCAAAAAGAAGGACAAAGTGAATCACTGTGCACTAACACCCACACAGAAATTCCATTTGATCGACACCTGGACATCAGCACTTCGCTAGAGATGACATAAAATTGTCACACGCCACCCGACCCTTACACGTATCCACAATGAGATATCATCAGTAATTAGTCTATTAGGGACGTGTCTAGCGCAGTCTTACATCTGAGATTATCGAGAGCGATCAAAACGGACTTGTACTGCCAACACCCTCTGTTTGTCATTTTCCAGCCGACCAATTATGATTGCTCAAGCGAAAGACAAGCTACCTACCTAGCTGTGCCACTTCGATGTGTATCTATAAATTTAGTTGCTCCTGTGGAGAAAGCTGGCTATATAGGGCGAACAACTAGACAGCTTAACAAATGCATTAATGAGCATCTCCCTTCACTCATGGTTCGGTAAAGGTCAAATAAAATCTATACGAAGTTCTATTTTGTCTCATTTGATTGACGATAGCGGTCACCAAGTGGACAGAAGAATAAATGCCTTCAAAGTTATCTATCGCATTCCATCGAGTCTTTCGAACGGAATCAGAACCCGTCTTTTACACATAGCTGAAGAGGTTATGGGAATTAATTCGAGAGAACAATCCTAGTGTCTTTGCATACAACAAAAGAAGTTTGTTCTACCACCTGTCTCTCCCTTGCTTAGCCTAGGTGAATTCTATTCAAAACCCTCCCACGCACCCTTTCTTATTTTCCATCTCCTTCGCATTTTTATGATATTTATTTAAACTCTGATTATATGTCCACTTCACCTTTTAAGATTCGACCTAATTTATTTATTGAATTGTCTACATATACGCATATATACATATACTACCGTTGTTATTTTTATCGCCACCTGCATAAACCTTATTATCAATACTTTGTTGTCATTATAATCATCGTTATTAATTTCGTCCAAAACATTTACCACATTATTATTATTATTGTTATTTGATCCACAAAATCACCGTCATTGGTTAAACATTTTATATACACATATATAAATCTACGTAAATTAGAGTAAAGCCTGAAGATCTAATTGAAAACAGGAATATTGTTCGCTTATATGTCTTGTTCTAATATTAAGGATGATGCAAATTGCCAAATAAATGAAATAGGTTACCTGAAAAGTTTCATACAGAACAACATTTAACCTTAAAAAGCTGATTATTTATTTACAAAATCTGACTCATACTTTGAGTATTTTAAAAATATTTAAAAAAATAAACGAGACAATTAATCATACTACTTATGAGTAGTGGTACAAAAATAGAGAAAGAAAACAACATAGTGGAGATTTGTAGCTCAAAATTAATTAATTAATCACTTCATGAGGATTAGTTGATGTAAACAGCTGAATTAAACGTCTCGCAAGTTCAGGACCCAATCGTCTTCGGGAAGCGAGTACACCAGTACCACGACGTATTTCCAAATTAGCCAACTCAGCTTCGAATGGATGCGAAAACTTTTGATTTTCAGAGCGATTACTACCTGTTGAAGTTGATTTCGGTTATGAACCAAAAGAGAAAACATGAAATAATTAGAAAATTTATAGAGTAATCCAAGTAGATGAATGCCAAACTATCTGAAGGTCTCGGGTTCAGTCCTTGGTGGGGTTGTAGGTTTCCACTTTTGAAGAGTCACAGATTACGGCGAAACGTCTGTCCGGTCTTCAATGATTCTCCAACTGATGTTGGTTAGGGTCAATAACTGACCAAAATCCCATGCTAAATCCGTAATAACATTTACAGTGGCAAAAACAAATGACGTAATCATATTGGTGGTGATGAAGACACCCTAACCAACAACACTAACAACAAGCACCAAAATCATTATGTAACGACAGAAGACAAGGACCGGGCAACAGATCAGATTGTTTATTGAGAAAATCAACAGATATTTATAGATTTTTATGTACATTATTATTAGCAGAGGAGCGACGTCTTCTGATTGGCTGTTTTCTTGTTCAAGGTTATTCTGTCATCTCTTTGTTGCCGTTTATTAGACAGTCCGTTGATATATATCTGTTAATCGTATCCGCCCACGCTAAATCTGCTGTGATTGGTTGTTGAGTTAGCCTTTGTTCTTCTTTTTTTGTCATGATCAAGATATGGGACGTAAACATTGACGTAAATTGCTGTCTACCGATTTTGGCTAGCAGACAGCTCTCATCACAATTATGATCATTTGGAGAAATCCAAAGAAAGACGTCTCTTTCATTTGGCTGGACTGGGTAGCATCGTTTTAACTATGGGAAAATGGTACAGATGAGGATGCTGAAGACAACTAGGGTTGGCAGACCTTCATTTACTTCGAGATCAGTGTACACATATACTGCACTGAACATAAGGAACAAGATCAAGTCAGTCAGTGTTTGTTTCTATTTGGTTTTTAGCAGACCACTGAAGGCTTTCATCAACACCTTACCCATTCGCTCGATACTGAAGATTAGATGACCAGCTAGAACAGATAAACATCGAAGAACTCTGGCAGGCAGCGAAACAACTAAAAGTCTATTACTCAGCCCGACCGATAGCTGCTACCTTGACGTGGTGGTCGCCGGGCTTGCACATCGCGATGACTCAACAAGCTACACTGGTTGAAACCAATGTTCCTGCAGGTTCTACCATGCCAGGAAGGTTGTTAGGGTAGCGATTAGACTAAAAGAAGTTACCGGTATCGTGTAAGAATTATTTTTACACTATGCTGAGGGTCTATGGGCGAAATCGTACTGCTGGGGAACAGGAGTGTAACAACAGTGAGGTGTTTCCCTCAGATGACCAGCATGCCAGCCACCTATGCTCTCTCTCCACTCTGCTGGAGAGAGGGAGTTAGAAAAGGTCGACTCAAAAAATTGTACATCCCGACTTACCCCACCTACGGTGTTCCGTAACCAGCGGTAAGTTTACTAATACGGAACCAAACCAAGAAACCAGTTCATACAGGTTGTGTGTGACCGACCGGCTTCAAGCAGTTGTCCCCTGGGCTCTGCGGTCACGCAACACTAACCTTCTCTCTGTTTCAGATAGCTGGGCCGGAAAGAATCATTAATAACAGGAAACTATGGGAAGAAACAAAACAAGAACCAATCACCAACCAACAAATATACAGGAGAAAGTGGAGATGGATTGGACACTCGCTGAGGAGGCCGCCGCTGGGTGACATCGCGCACATGTCAGGCCAATGCTCGAGTGGAACCAGGCCGAAAGGGAAGCGGCGAGTGGGACGTCAGTGCAAGGGTGGGTGACATGGAGGAGATCGTGTGAAGAGAGAGGAGTTGAAACAGTATGGACTAAGCAACATGGATGCAGGTGAGAAGTACAGCAGAAGGAAGACAGAAGTGGCAAGTGGAGACGTGCAGTTGAAGCCCTATGTTCGACTAGGAACCCAAGGGAAAAATAATAATATAAGACTTCAGACCGATGAGTGCATCAACGAAATAGAATAACTAATCATATGAAAAAGGCACATTTAATATTGTTTAAAAACATAGTCTCTTCAGGAGATGTATGTACACATATTTGAATGCAAATTAACCTTACCTTGACCAGTCGCCGCTTTGATCTCTGCTGATTTACACGCATTATAAAATGAACGTGCTGTTGGATAAACCAACGTGATAGCATAGGCTATTTCACCAGTCAGTCCACGCCATTGTCCCAGCTGGGATAACCATACACGATTAGCCCATGAATGTAGGGCATGTTCACCACCCATTAACGATTGAACATCATCATTTGGCAATGGTGCTTTACCTGGACCACGACCATGCAGAGCACAACTACTCAATCCTTTACGTACTGTATCTGGAAGAAAGGCTAAGCCTTCATCACGTCCAAGACGTCCTTGTCTAGAGGAAGAGGAGGAGGAAGAAGAAGAAGGAAATAAGGTCGATAATAACGCCGGCTGTGAAGTATAGTTTGGAAACTGCCTCAACACTATGCAATGTAGCTTTATGATGATGATGATGATAATGTATACTCAGTAATTTACAACAGAAAACTCAGTGAAGCGTTTGAAGTAAAAGCAAGAGGAATAAGACAAGCCAACCTACTATTCCTGACGGTATTCAGGATTGTGATGGGCTGCGTCATGCAAGAGCAAGGGGCAAGATGACAGGCATACTTTGTTTGGACCCTCAAAAAGCCTCTAGAAGATTTGAACTTCGTGAACGATTTATGTCTAATGTCACACAAACTCGCAGATCTATATGCGAAAAGCACCAAGTAGGGAGAAGAAGCAGATAACAAAGACAGGACTTCAAATGAACATAAAGTAGGTATAGCTACCTACCTAACCACCACCATCGAAAACAAGCGCCAATCACTATCGACGAGAAACATTCGGAAGAAGTTATTTCTTTCACTTGATTACGGTGTACATGGGCTCCAAAGGGCGGGTGTACTGCTCATCAGTCCGCTCCGTCCTCCTTTATGGTTGTGAGACCTGGTCACTCAGAGTGGAAGACATGAAAAGACTAGCTGTGTTTGATCATAGGTGCCTGCGCTCTATTTCCCGTGTAAAATGGCATAATAAGGTGAGCAACATTGAGGTTAGGCGTAGAGTTCTAGGTAAACAGGGGAAATCAATCGACGAAGTCGTGAAGCTACAAAGACTGAGATGGTTAGGACATGTGTTACGTATGCCAAGCCATCGCCTCCCTCGACGAGCAATGTTAGCGGATATAGGGTCAGGCTGGAAAAAAGCTAGCGGCGGTCAAACAAAAACTTGGCATCAGTCAATGAAATCCACAACAGTTGGTCTAAGCCACGTAGGAAGGTGTAGACTTCCTGACTGGTTGGGGTCCTCGGGACGGTAAGAATCTATGGTTGGAAACAATTGGTGACATGGCTCAAAATCGTTCTCAGTGGTGCAGATGCATCCACTCCTTGTGACCTATGATCTCCAATGAAACTGTTTTGTTTTTCCTCATTACTCGTTTGTCTCACACCTCTACTCACTGTTTCTATTATGCTTTTCTTGTACTTTCTTCTCTTGCTTCGCGTGCTACACGGAGTGTGGCGACTTGAACTTCCGCACATTTGTGCAAAGTTCTATGTCGAAAACAGACAGACATGGGCTCCAGAATCTGAGCCGATAGAATAGCGAGCGTATGAAATTGTTTTGGTCACCCAAAAACCATCGGAATGTGTAGCTCCTGACGCTGCTCCATTGTTTTACGGACTAGACTTTGAGTCAGAGGCTCGAAGAGAGGGGCGTGACTCCTTAAGAAAACTACCTACATTTTGGGCGTCCAGGTAGTATCCCAGCCTTCGTTGAAACTATGAGATTTTATGTGGCGTATCGATTCGACAGCGTTGGCCGAAAAGTAATTTGGAAAATACTTCAACACTATGGCGTACCTCAAGTGCTTATCAACCTCTGTCTCACGTTAGGTGGTTTAATAAGGTAAGTAATGTTGACGTTAGGCGTAGAGTGTTGGGCAAACAGGGAAAATCAATCGACGAGGCTATAAAGTTACATAGACTAAGATGGCTAGGTCACGTGTTGCGCATGCCTAACCCGACGGGCATTACTAGCTGATATAGGTGCAGGTTGGAAAAGAGCCAGTGGTGGCCAAACGAAAACATGGCATCAATCCATGAAATCCTTGACAGTAAAACTGAGTCAGGTAGGTGGGGAGATGCAGACTTCCGGGTTGGGGCTCTCGGGACTCTAAGAATCAATGGCTGGAGACAATAGGTGACATGGCTCAAAATCGTTGTCAATGGCTAGCGTAGACGTATTTAGTCTCTGTAATCTTTCATATTCCTTTCTACCATTACCCATTCTGTTTCACTCTTATACTTGTCAGACTGTATTGATTCTCTTCACTCATCTTCTTGTCTACCTCTGTGTGCTATTTGGAACGTGGCAACTGGAACTGGTGCACTTCGGTGCCAAGTTCTTTGTTGAATCCAGACAGACAGACAGACATCAACCTCATTCAACAGCTGGTTATATGACAATGCACAACGAAAAACTCAAAGAGTCGTTCGAAGTGAATACAGGAGGAAAAACACGTTCAGCTGGCTGCCTCCCTATTATCACCGATGATATCCTCAATTGTGGTAGACTGGATTATGCAGAAGACTGTTGGGGGCCAGGAGTCAGGAAAACGCTGGACGACCGATAAGAAGACTCTGGAAGATCTGGATTTTGCGTGTGGATGACACATGTAGAATGTTACACAAACTCGAAGACTTACAAGCGAAAAACCAACAAACTGGTTTAAGAGGCAGCGACAACAGGACTTGCAGATGAGCACACAGAAGACGGTGGTGACGAAGATAATCAATCAACAGCAGCAACAACAACCAGCATCAATCAACACCAACGGGGAAGATTTAACAGAGGTCACCTCCTTCACTTATCTAGGAAGCGTGGCTTCATCTACAGGCAGTCGGAACCGATGAAGATATCAAAACCAACCAGAATCGGAAAGGTAAGGTATGCCTTCATCAACCTGAAACCAGTTTGGAAATCTTTTTCACTCAGCAGCATAAAGAATAAGATTTGGATTTTCAACACCGATGTCAAGTTGGTCCTTCTATATAGAGGTTAGAAACTTGGCCAGAGTGTCACGAAAAGTACTTCCAACAGCCTGTTGCCGACTATCATTAACAGCTGCCTTTGCCGGCCTCACCATACTGAAGATTGAATGGCCAGAAAGAATCAGCAACAAAAAAAAAACTCTGGCTGGGAACAAACCAACAGGCGAGAGCCGATTGCTCAACAAGTGGATATGCAGGAGAAAGTGGAGATGAATTGGGCATACATTGAGAGGAGGCCATCGAATGACATCGCACGCGATGCAGGCCATCGTTCGAGTAGAATCCCAGTGGGAAGCGACGAGTGCGTTATCAAGCGCGAGGGTGACATGGAGGAGATCGTGTATTGGGGAGAAGGAGGAGATGAGAGATTGTGGGCAATCGTGGACCCAGCTGAAGAGGATGGCAGAAAATAGAAGAAAGTGGAGATGTGATTTTGAAGCCGTATGTTCCACACGGAACCCAAGGGAATAATAATAATCGCTTTATGTCAATAATGTAGAGGCTATGAAAGCATGTGGCCACATGAGAGCATTTCTAGAGGAAGACCGAAGTCTACTCATCCTCGACTGTAACAAGTCGTTTATGAGGGGGGGGGAGAGGGGCAGCTTGTGATACAGGTTAGGGGAGAAAACTAAGCTAAGACAAAAGCTCCATTAACTCAGTAATAATAATAATAATAATAAATAGAAGGATTTGCTTACTTAAATTGTCTTTCTGCTAATGATCTTGTAAATGCATTCAAAATCATAGCCACGTCATGCAGGTTGGCAGTGATACGTGTACTGTGTACATTCCAATTTAATTGTAATTCAATGCATAATTCATTAATTGACGAAACTAGTGAAGAATCTGATGTGGACGAACTTGATGACGATGGATTCCTAATATTCGAAAGAGAAATAATAAAAAAAAAAAACAATTTAACATAATTTGTTACCGTAAAATTAATCAAACACTCATTTATTTAATCGTTAGAATAACTAGGATACCTCAAGTTTGACCATGAATTAACTTCTCATTTAGAGACTCTCTTCAGTAGTAAGTAGTACACCCTCATGAACTCACCGTTAGGAATTGAACCCATGACCCTCAAGGTTACAAGGTGAGGAAAGATGATCACCAATGACATTAGCTGACGGTGGCTATATATATACCATGAATCAGAAGAAGTTAGAATTCATAGGTCATTGGATTCTATCCCAGTGGTTGAATAGTCGGTCATCAAGCTCACCTCATAACTTGAATGTCCTAGGTTCGAGCCCTAACAACAGTTGGATCATTTATGAATACTACTGAGGTGTCTCAAAAGGGATGAAACCAGCTATGTCCAGTACTCTCTGCTTGTTTTCAACGGTTCTCTAATTGAAGTTAATTCTTGATCAAACTTAAAACCAATTAAACTCCTGAAAACCAGCACTCAATGACATGATGACTATTTACAACATGCCAAGATGAAGTGATAAATATATGAGTATATTGACGATACTATGCGCCCACATGTAAAACTTGCTCACGAACCCTACCAAACCTGGTTAGCAAAGGGAGAATTAGAGTGTTTTTAGTTCGACAAAAGAGCATTTTTTGAACATAGGATACTCAATCCCATTTGAGAAACCCTCCAAAGCAGTATAGAAGATCCAACACCTAACTTATCAAACGGAGTGGGATCAAGACATTTAGATATACCTACAGAAATAGCAATCTAAAAATTTGAGTCAACAATGTATTCAAAAAAAAGTATGTTCAACTTTTTTCCTTAGCATGGTCACCAATGCACGAATTGGTTGAATGCTCTATGGCAACGCAAAATGTACGGACTCGATTTCTGGCCAACGTACTATTAAACCTCTTCTAGCTTATTAGCCGTACGTCGGTAGCACAGCAATAGAATGCTCGCCGACTACGCATGTGGTTCGGGGTTCGATCCCCAGCCGCCAATGCACTCCTTCACCCCGCCAAACCAATAATAAGACTTGTAAGGAGGGAAGGTTGATCATGAGGCTAGCAACGCTATCCATCCCATAAAACTAAACACCATTGCTACCGAAACTTCAAGCCTCTAACTTGAAGGCGCCCTAAGTTCTCCTGGGAACGTAAAGGAATAGAAAAAAAATGTACTAGGCGTTATTAATCCTAGGAAAGAGGAGAGGCTGGGTGTAAGGCTGGTAATCCCACCATCCCGTAGAAGAAAAACAGCAACAACAATAGTAAAACTTCAGAGGATTGGAGTTCTATGCTCCACTCAGAACATATATGACTCTGTATGTGATAGGGGAAACGACTAAAATTGGAATCAACGTTTTAGGGCATCGACCGTTAACGTTAAAAGGTTTTGTGGTTCAATTCTAAATTATTGTTACAAACCAATCCAAGTAATTCATTTCATCCCAACGATCTAGCCTAATTTCACCAAGTGGAATGTATTCACAACAAGAATAATCGTATTCAGCAGTTACACTGAAGAGATTTACAGGTGACATCATATGTCAAGCAGGTCGTCGAGTGGAGGCCGAATGAGAAGCGACGAGTTAGATGATATTTCGGGAGGGTGGCAGACTTGAAGGAGATCGCGACCGAAAGCTGCTACCTTGACGTGGTGGTCGGGCTTGAACACCGCAATGATCTATTCAAGCTATACTGGCTGAGACTTATGTCTCTTGAGGTTCTACCATGCCAGGCAGGTTGTTTGGATAGCGGTTAAACAAAAAGCAGCTACCCAATCCAACATCATGTCCAATACAAAATTACAAAATTTCATGCCGGATCGGCCGTGGCCCGGATTAACAACGACCGCGCTTCCTGCTGCCGTGTCACAGGGCAGGAGTGATAAATATGCTACTGAGACACACCAAACAAAAAGAACGAACAAAAACAGGCCGCGTGTGACCGGCCTCAAGCAGTTGTCCCCTGGGCTCTGCGGTCACGCAACCAACTTCCACGGTGTGGGCAGCCGGGAAGTAACAATCGCCCTCACAATCCGAAATGCACACGAAACCTCTCTATTACTCACTCATCTTTGTCTTCATCTTCATCTCTATCATCTTGCCTTCCTTCCACTGATGCAACTCCTCGACTTGATAGCTCTCCACTTCCTCTCCACTCTGCGTCCACTAAAAACGATGGAAGCCAAAAAACCACCACCGACAGCCTCTTAAAGCCGCGCCACCAATTTCATATAGGAGCTCTTAATGTTAGGACACTTTGCCAAATAGGACAACAAGCATCACTAGCCAAGACCCTGGCATCACGAGCCATTGATGTATGCTGTGTTTCAGAAACACGCATACAAGACCCAAGTGTGGTTATTCACCTAACCCCACCTGGCCAACAGGTTGAATCTGCAAAATTCACCTTGAGGGTGTCAGGAGATGCCACAGCTAGTTCACGAGGATTAGCTGGCGTAGGGATAGCTTTGAGTACTAGGGCAGAAAAGACATTGCTTGACTGGATCCCGGTAGATAGCCGAATGTGTGCTGTCCGCCTGAACGGATCAGTAAGAAGGAGGAAGGACTGCACTACTCGCCGATGCCTTTTCGTAATCTCCGCCTACGCCCCCACTGACTGCAGTTCAGATGAAACGAAGGATGAGTTCTACCAAAAGCTGTCTAGTTTGGTGGAAAGGCTAAACGCTCAGACATAGTCGTTCTAGCTGGTGACTTTAACGCTCAAGTAGGGAAATTGTGTCAATCTGAGAAGGATGTCGGTGGCACCTATGGAGCTCCGTGCCAGCGAACCGACAACGGTGACCGTCTCCTACAGTTCTGCTCTGATAATCATTTGTTTCTTGTAAGCACTAACTTCAAACACAAGGAGAGACACTGTTTGACTTGGAGACCCCCTTCATCAAACCAACGCTGGACACAAATAGACCACATAGCAATAAGCTATCGTTGGCGTGGGTCGGTAGGAGATTGTCGCTCCTTCTGGAACACGTGCGTAGATACCGACCATGCACTGGTCCGCGCTCGGGTGTGCTTACGACTGAACGGACGTAGGAAACAGCTGGCGGTAAAACCATCACGTCCCCAGCTCGATCAGGAAACTAAATCCGTATTTGAGGAAGAACTAGCTAAACACATATCTGTGTTCGACAGCTGTGCTCACCCTGAAGAAGCTTGGAAAAATATCCAGGCAGCCATAGATACAGCTGTAAAAGCTGTGAATAAGGTAAACCCAAAGGTGAGTAAAAACCACTGGATCTCCACCGCCTCATCCGAACTGATAGATGCTAGAAGACTTATTCCGGCGAGCTCCGAATTCAATGAGGAGCGAAAGCTGCACAAGAGGAAACTTACGAAAAGTCTCCGCAAGGACCGTGAACAGTGGTGGGCGACAAAAGCCAAAGAGATGGAGAAAGCTTCGAGGATAGGCAACACCAGGCAACTCTTTGGACTCATCAGGGAAACGGGTGGGAGAAGACAAATCATCAGTGAGACAATCTCGGAAAAAAATGGCACTATAATTAGCTCCCAGGATAGACGACTGGATCGTTGGAAAGAGCATTATGAGGAGCAGTTTAATTTGCCCACAGCCACGCTCAACCTTCCGAGCATCCAACACCTCCCTGAATGGGATATAGACACAGGTCCTCCGTCACTAACTGAGGTTACTAAAGCTGTCACCAATCTGAAACTAGGCAAAGCAGCGGGACCTGATGGAATGACTCCAGAGGTATTTAAGTACGGTGGAGACAGCTTACTGTCCGGATTAACTGAGGTACTAGGCAGCGTCTGGGAATCAGAAGAAGTCCCATCGGGTTGGTGTAAGTCACTGATTATCCCCATATACAAGAAGGGAGACAAGTCTTCCTGTGATAATCACAGAGGGATTAGCTTGACTAATATAGTATCTAAAGTCTTAGGCTCAATAATCATGCGTAGACTGAGTGGTGCTCGGGAAGCACAAACACGAGAGAGCCAGGCAGGCTTTAGACCAGGAAGAGGGTGTATTGATCATATCTTCACCCTCCGACAGATTCTAGAACATAGGCATTCCTACCGGCGTCCAACAGTCATTATATTTCTTGACCTAAAGGCAGCATTCGACTCTGTCGATCGGGAAGTTCTCTGGAGATGCTTGGCTGTAAAGGGAATTCCAAGAAAATATATTGCACTGATTAAGGCACTCTACTCGTACTCATACAGCCAGGTGAGGGCTTACGGCGAGCTGTCATCTGAACTGATGACGACCAGTGGTGTCCGTCAAGGATGCCCATTATCTCCTTTTCTATTCAACTTCATCATAGATGTGTTAATGGACTTAACCCTAGGTGACTTCAGCGACTCAGGGATTGACTTGCTACCGGGGAATAATCTCGTTGACTTGGAATATGCAGACGATATAGTCCTTCTAGGCGAAGACGCTGACGAAATGCAGAGTCTTCTAAACACCTTGAGCCGCAATCTACGAATGTTTGGCATGCGATTCGCTCCCGCCAAATGCAAGATGATGTTACAGGACTGGACTACATCGACGCCTAGTTTAAAAATAGGAAGTGAAGTGGTAGAGCACGTTGACCGCTTCACTTATTTGGGAAGTACCATCAGCCCCAACGGGCTGATCTCTGACGAAATCTCAGCACGAATACAAGGGGCTCGTTTCGCATTTGTTAGTTTACGCCGACTCTGGCGTAGACGAGATGTTCGACTATCGACCAAAGGGCGGGTGTACTGCTCATCAGTCCGCTCCGTCCTCCTTTATGGTTGTGAGACCTGGCCACTGAGAGTGGAAGACATGAAAAGACTAGCTGTCTTTGATCATAGGTGCCTGCGTTCTATTTCCCGTGTAAAGTGGCATAATAAGGTGAGCAACATGGAGGTTAGGCGTAGAGTTCTAGGTAAACAGGGGAAATCAATCGACGAAGTCGTGAAGCTACAAAGACTGAGATGGTTAGGACATGTGTTACGTATGCCAAGCCATCGCCTCCCTCGACGAGCTATGTTAGCGGATATAGGGTCAGGCTGGAAAAAAGCTAGCGGCGGTCAAACAAAAACTTGGCATCAGTCAATGAAATCCACAACAGTTGGTCTAAGCCACGTAGGAAGGTGTAGACTTCCAGGCTGGGGTCCTCGGGACGGTAAAAATCTATGGTTGGAAACAATTGGTGACATGGCTCAAAATCGTTCTCAGTGGCGCAGATGCATCCACTCCCTGTGACTTATGATCTTCAATGAAACTGTTTTGTATTTCTTTATTACTCCTTTGTCTCACACCTCTGCTCACTGTTTCTATTATGCTTTTCTTGTACTTTCTTCTCTTGCTTCGCGTGCTACACGGAATGTGGCGACTTGAACTTCCGCACATTTGTGCAAAGTTCTATGTCGAAAACAGACAGACAGACATGCGAAAAGGGAATGAAAGCTTGTAGGTAAATGTGAAACCATCTGAAAATGACTGTAAAGGACATAGAGTAGTACTATGAAGATATCCTTAAAGAAGCCCTGTATATTGTTCCACCCAGGGACGCAAGGAAATAATGAAAATAGTCGTATTCAGTTGTGGTCAGTCTACTGCATTAGTTGGCGTAACATGCACGTAGTCATCCAACCACCACAGTCACATCAATATACTACACGGGAATCAGTTACAAATGATACAAAAGGAAAGATACATGGAAGCAGAAGAATCAGAAGTGTAACTTACTTCGCCTTGGAATTAGATCCTGTTAGTAAAATACACGTAATTGGTCGTTTTAGATTGACTAATGCAGTGCCAAAGGCCTCCATATTTGTATTCTAATAAAGTAGACAGGGGGAGAAAGTACACAAGTAAAAGTAAGAGATAATCAATTCAAATTTTCAAGATTGATAACGAACCAACTTGAGTTAGAGAAGCACTGAAAAGCACGAAGCTTTGTCCTTCAAGTTTGGGACTCTTCTGCAATAAGCACTCATAACCCCACTCACTATAAATCAAAGCCAGAAGCCTTAAGGTTATAAGGCGAACTCCTACATCATTCAACCCCTAGGACGAAATCCGATGGGTCCATGAATTCTAACTTTCACCAATTCGCGATGTAGCCAAGTCGGAAGTGGAGACAGATACTCGCCGACAGCGTTGGCTGGCCGTAGAGCTAAATATATGGCGAATCGATAGAATTCAGAGTTGATGGACTATTGGAATCTGTCCTGGTGTCTGAACAGCACACCAGTACGTCTTGTGTAACTTGAAGGCGCTGCGTTTGATCCCTGTTGGGGCCGTAGGTGCATACCGATGAAGAGTTCCAGAAAGGAACGAAACAACCATTCAATACTATAAGTTTTATAAATGAAGTCGACTTGTAATCAAACTTGAAACCAACCAAATCTCTGCTAAAGATAGGGCAAAAATAGGGGGTGAAGTGGTAGAGCGTGTTGACCACTTCACTTATTTGGAGAATTGCATAAGACCCGATGGGTTGATCGTCGACGAAATCTTAGCACGGATACAGGAGGTTCGTTTGGCATATGCCCGCCAGCTTACGCCATCTCTGGCTTAGTAGACTTGTTATCTGGCTGGTTGGCTGTCGACCAAAGGGCCTGTGTTCTTCTCAACAGTTTGCTCTATCCTCTTTTATGACTGGCTGGCTGTGAGACATGACCAGTGAAAGTGGAGGACATGCAAAGGCCGGCTGGCTGTCTTTGATCATAGGTGCCTGTGTTCTATCTCCTAGATAAAGTGGTGGTATAATAGGGTGAGCAATATTGAGGTTAGGCATAGGTCGAGTGCTAGGTGAGTTGCATCCACTCCTTGTGACATATAATATCGAATAAAACTATGTGGTTCTTCGATATATATATATATATATATTCATGCCTAAGTTTCACCATAAAGCTCTGCACTTAAGCTCAACAGTTCAGTCTGCTACACTCTACTTAGCATACAAAGGCAGGTAAAACTTGGGCACTGTTTTAGAGTATAACTGCATTAGAGATAAGATTTTATTTTGATAAATCACCCAGTGTTGTTATACAGTAAGATTAACTGATGTGACCACGTTTCGAGCACAAACTATTACCGCTCATAATCATATCAAGTAATGTACACATGGAAGGTCACAAAGAGTAAATGTCTCTGAGCCATATCACCAACGATGCCTAGTCAATGGATCTTAGCATCTCGAGGACCCCAACCAGGCAGTCTGCAGCTCCTCGTGTGACTGGCTCAAACCAACAGTCAAGGACTTTATCGGTTGGTGCCAAGGTTTGATTTGACTGCCCCTGTAAACCTTTTCCCACTTAAACCAATGTTAGCTTACATTACGCGTTGAGAGAGGCGTTTGTTCAGCATAAGAGGTGATACGTGTCGTAAACATTCCAGGGGATGTAGTTTCACAACCTAATCGATTCGCTTAATGAAACAGGAGAAAAAGAACATACAACTAATGTTAGAGAAACGTGTGCTCCCTTTTCCTTCATAAACTCAACAAATTTAATCTGTCAAAGGTATAAACACATACTTTATGTATCTTCTGTTTTTTGCAGGCTGGATGAGTTGGCTTCACCAGTAGATTTCTAATCTGATCAGTAGTTAACAAGATGACAACTTCAGGTTCAACAATTGGATCAAGTTTAATATTAACTGCTGATTGATCTATGGTTAGGAAGAAAAAATGAGTACACCGGGAGAAAAAATAACAATAATAATAATAAAGTCGTTCAAGTGATACAATAATGTAAGCAAATAAAAAGTTTTAATCGATTAAAGATTGATTATTGAAAAAAGAAAGAATATTCTTCTTTTCGATAACTTTCTCTTCTTCATCAGGTACTACAGTTACTCTTCATTACTGTTCAATACCCTGAAGGACAAGATCCCGATGTTGACAAACTCTACGTGTGTTTATCAATTCACCTGCTCGCTCGTGTGGAGCTAGGTATATCGGTCGTTCGACACGAATTTTGCCCAGGAGGGTGCAAGAACACTATCCGGAATGGTAGTTGCGAAGAGGTGGAAGTGGAGCAATAAGAAGCACGATCATTGAACGGAACATCTGGTCGATAATGATCACCTCATCTCCATCTACAAACTCCGCCTTTAAAGTCATCTACAAGGCAAAGAGTAATTTACCCAAATCCATACGTACCCAACTCATCTGTATTGCTGAAGCCATCTTTGGCTATTGAAACAGAAAAGCCAGATCTCCGTGTACAGAAAAACGTTCGTTCAGCGCTTCCAACTTTCATGGTCTTAATCCATCTACGCTAAAGTATGATAATCCCTAATCATATTTTGGCTTTACCAATTTTTCATTTTGTATATTCAGTTTGTATTCTCTTTCTTTATTACGTCAATTGTTACTATTACTATTCTCCCTTTGAACTGTCCCCGGTATTATTTTACTTTTTCCATTTGTCATTCTAAATCCATTTTATTTTTACAACGTTAAATTCTATGCTACCAAATTTCACACAATATTACGTAACGTTTTTATTTTATTCGATTTGTCCACTAATCCTATAATTGCACACCCTTTTTCAAGTTCTATCCATCCTATGAATTATTCTATATATGACATTAATTTGCTTTGCCACTTGACATTTAACTATGGTTATAATCACAAACATATTAGTTATATATCCATCCATCCACAATAATAATGAAAAAGTGATGGTTATTGACAACGTTAGTGGTTTTTTAAAAAGAGCAACATGGAATCATCATTTAGATCAGAATTCTAAAAGTTATTTGCAATTCGATTGTTAATAGATTATAGTCCAAGATATATGTGTGTATGGGCTAATATGTATAGTTTTAATATTCAAGTACTGGTTTTTGTAGGGATTTAGTTTGATTAGTTGGATGATTTCATCATGAGCAGCTGACATCATTTAGAGAACCATTGGAAAACCACCTACGAGTACTAGACAGCCAATTGCTCCGCCAACCTAGTTTGGGACTCTTCATCAGTACAAGGCTGGCGAGCTGGCTTGTAAACCACTAAGCCACTCACTGGGACCTGACCCAATGGCCAGCCAATTCATGACATAGCACGGCCACCTGGCAATGTCTTCTTCGATGATGAGTTACTGCTTCACCTTCATCCTGCTGTACCCTACTGGTCACGGCTTCTCACTGAAACCGTAGGTTAATCTCCTGAATAGGGCCAGTCGCTAGTGAGCATCAGATGAATTTGTAATACCGAATTGAACACCAATATTATAAAGTAACTGATTATCCTGGACCGACGTGAAGAACCTAGAAGACCTGGATTTCGCGCGTGGATGATTTATGTCTGATGTCACATAAAATCGAATACTTACAAGCGAAAACCGACAAACTCGTCGAAGAAGCAGCCAGCGAAGACAGGACTCCAAGTGGACATAGACAAGACGGAGGTGATGGAAATAACCAACCAACAACAGCAACATCAAGCGCCAATCACCATCAACGGGAGGGATTTGAAAGAGGTTAGTTACTTCATTCAATTATCTAGGGAGCATTGTCTCAATTACAGGCAGTCGGAACGGACGAGGATGTCAAATCGAGCGAGAATCGGGTGACGGGCGAGAAACACATTCATCAACCTGAAACCAATCTGGTAGGAAATCTTCGTCACTCAGCCAGCATCAACAACAAAATTCAGTTGGATTTTCAATACAAACAACGTCAAGTCAGTCAGCTCTTCCATACGGATCAGAAACTTGGCGGGCGGGTCACAAAGAATATTTCCAACAGCCTGTTTTCAGACCTTTATCAACAACAACTGTCTTCTCTGGATCTATACTGAAGATCAGATGGCCGGGCCGGAAAGAACCACCAACAAGAAACTATGTCTGGTAAAAACAAAACAAGAACCAATCATTCACCGACCAAAAATATGCAGGAGAAAGTGGAGATGGATTGGACACTACTCGCTGAGGAGGCCGCTGGGTGACATCGCGCGCGCGTCAGGCCATTGCTCGAGTGGAACCAGGCCGAAAGGGAAGCAGCGAGTGGGACGTCAGTGCAAGGGTGGGTGACATGGAGGAGATCGTGTGAAGGGAGAGGAGTTGAAACAGTATGGACTAAGTAACATGGATGCAGGTGAGAAGTACAGCAGAAGGAAGACAGAAGTGGCAAGTGGAGACGTGCAGTTGAAGCCTTATGTTCCACTAGGAACCCAAGGGAACAATAATAATAACTGATAATGAATAAAAACGAATGCATAGTAAGAAATTATCACGAACGATGTTCATATTAAGTACTATTCATATTGATTATAAACTTCAGATGAAGGAGTGATCATGTCAAGGACGAGTATAGAGAAAAAGGGCTTTATCGGGGGGGGGGGGGGTGAAATTTATGTGTCTTGTGTGTGTGTCAGTTAACAACTACGTTCAAATAAAAAAACAAAAGGTTAGTTAACGCAAGTGTAATGACAGGGGCTAATGGAATTTATATGTACAGGGTGCAGGGCCATAACAAAAGAGCCGATGTAATAAGGTATTTATGAATTTGTAAACTCCTTAGTGGGCCAGGCGTAATAGCAGTGGTTGGATCTGTTTCTTCTGTACATTGATTTTACTAAGAATAACTATAAATTAGAATTCCTGTGGTCGCTGGATGCCATCTCGGTGACTCGCCTCGTAACCTGAAGGAAGATCCTGAGTTCGACGCCTATCGGGTGAGGTCATGGGGACGTATTGATGAAGAGTCTCAAACTGGAATGAAGCAGCTGTCCAGTACATTCTGGCTTACAATAGTTTTCTAACTAATATCAATCCGCGATTCAACTTTGAAGAAAGTGGAGTGCTCTGATAAGATACCTTTTGCTTTTTGGAAAGGTTTGAGCATACAAAAAATACTAATAAATATGAGTATTATATATATATTACCGTTTGATTCTTCATCTTTTTCTCCAGCAAATGTTTCTAGCCTTGGTTGATAACGGGTCCATGTGAAAGCAAATGACACAGGGACAGAACCGCTAGGACCATCTAATCCAACACTTTTCGGCTGAATGATTGGTGGTAATTGTTGAGCAATATACTGTTCTAATGGATCATTGGAAGAATTCAAATGATTTATTGTTGAAGATTGCCAATTGGTTTCTAGCTTTGATGTGAGGGAAGCCAATAAACCGGACATTTGCAAGACATTTTCATCGAACTCACAAGTGATCAACTAATGGATTGAGATGAAACGATTACTTTATAGAAATATGATTTAAGCAAGTAAATACGTGTTTTCGGTAAATTCTTGTTAGGCTTTACATTTACATAATGAAATATTAGTGATAAATATTTGAATTAATGCGGTTAATAAAATATTAGATAAGAGGTGTGAATTAATCGAATTCTTCTTTGAATCTTTTTATAGAAAATGATATGGACGTAGATATACCAGCTCAAACACTAAGGGGAACTGCTACTCCATAGTGCGGGGAATGTGTAGTTTCAGTTTGACAACGAATTCTACCGTTAAGCGGAGTGCGTAGCGATAGGCCCCCCCGTTAGGTCCTCTCTTAGCCGATATGTTTATAGCGAAATTAGAGAACCGTCCACTGAAAAACGTGATCAAAGAACTTTTGTCCTACTATAGATATATATGGACGATACTTTTGTCTTGCATAATAATAAAATCGATATTGAAGTCCTTCTCCAAACGGTCAGTATGGCTTATCCACAAAGTGAGTTCACATATGGAAAAGGAGAAAGATAACATCCTCCTACTTCTTGATATCCTGCTAACAAGAAGACAAGGCAACAGTATTAAGAAGGGTACTGTCCGGAAGAAGTCATGGATTTATTTATTTATTTATTTTTTATTTATTTTTGACTACAGCTTGATTCCACACTGTAATTTTGGTACAAGTATGGAATTTTCAGCGTGGATATCGGTAGCCCAAAATTCTCAGGCCGACCATAGATATCAGGTGTGCATCGGCGTGGGCTCGAACCCCGGACCATGTGGATGATCGGCGAGAGTCCTAACCACTGTGCCACCGACGCACAAAATTCGCAGGCCGACCATAGATATCGGGTGTGCGTCGGTGTGGGCTCGAACCCCGGACATGTGCATGGTAGGCGAGGATCCTAACCACTGTGCCACCGACGAATACACCCCTTTTTCAAGTCATTTCTTCCTCTTGCATACCAAAGAAATCTTATCGGGACCTTGATGTACCGCGCTAGAAAAGTCTGCACAACCGACACTCTAGACGATGAGATAAGGTAAATAGAAAACTTCTTATATGGGGACAAATACCCCGAAAAGTTTTATAAAGTCCCAATGAGGAGAACAGATAGAAAGAAATGCCCGCAAACGGTGAGGAAGAAGGGTAGGCATATGTATAAACATGACGCTATCGTTTAAAGTAGAGGCGCAAAATGAACTGGTGACATAGAAACTTCGGAAAATAATAGCTAAAACATTTTTTTGCCTCACAACATTGTTTTTAAAATTCTTCACTCGTTGTAAAGTTCCAACTCAGGTAAATGATAAGCTACCGAGCCTGGCCACTTCAGTGCACGCTTATAAATTAAACTGTTCATGTGGAAACAGTGACAAATAGAGCGATTCAGCAAGCCCACTGTCACCTACTGGAGTATTGTCCAACGTGGTTGGGTAAAGGAGTCGTAAAGTCAACCACAAGTGCCATACTGGCACACCTAGTGGATACGGAGCACAAGATTGAGTAACATTCTACACGGGTTGCCACCTCCAAAGCCTCAGGATGGTCGGGGATGGGTGTCTTGCGCTGCGGGTTGGCCACCCCTCCGCACACCTCTTGAAATGCTCCCATATGACCGGACGTCTTACATAGCCTCTCCTGAGGAAGTCCTACTCACTGCCTCCACGTGGCGGAGGTGTTTTTCACCAAAGTGAGAGGGCAAAAGCGGATGCCCGGCGCTCTTCACCGGGTTGACTATCCATTGGATGACAGTCTAGGGGAGATGGCTAAACCCTGATTCCAAACCTCCAACGACTGGCGTATGAAGCTCACCGGAGTTCACCGGCAGACGTATGGACAAAGGGCTTATTGGATGCCCTGGATGACTGGCCCCATTCAAAAAGGCGAATGAACCGGACTCCGGTCACCGGCTGACAATGGATAGTGGACTCCCTACTCCACTCCTACTGCCTTGTAGGTCACACTTGTTTGTGTAAAGGCTAGAGCTGCACTCTCAAACAAAGGCCGAGCGATGCTGGGGACATCACTCGTACCCAATTCCCATGAAATTTCATGGTTCATGAAGCCGGCTCATCCTCCCGTAGGAGATAGCCGAAGTAAAGTAAAGTAAGGTTGCCACCTCAACTCCCAAGGTTGGTACGTCTTCGGTTGCTAAGCATAGCTGAGGTAGTTGTCATAATGATTTTTCAGCTCAATCTCTGTGTTCAGAAAAGTTTGTGCAATCTCTCGCCCTCCCATAGCCTTTGTCTTCAACTTAAAATTCCTACCTCTCACCTAACTTTTCCAACAAAATCCTGCCTTAGCTAACAATACTCGAGGAAGAAGGCAGCAACTCGGCATATGTAACACATGTTCTAGCCGTTACATTCTTCAAGTCATTATCAATGACATCCGATAGACTCAGACGACATTTAAGCCATAGATACATTTACTGTCAGAGAGATTTACGCATCACAAATATCAACCTAATTTTGAGTGGTTACGTGTAAAAGTAGTCCAAATCCGGAATACCAGAAGAGAAAATGTTATAGAACTGACAATAAGGAGTTAGGGCTCATCAGACAAATGCCAACCAACTAATACGATCAAGTGAACACCAATTCAATCTCTGGCACTCAATAAAAACCATTGAATTACTTATGAATAGAAATATAGGATGCTGAAATTAAGTTGTACAGTGATTATGTAATGGATCATAAGTGATACATCACTGGGTAAATCTGAGAGTGCAAACAATACAGTGTTGCTGAACAAAGCAAGCGCAACAAACTGACTAAGATGTGACACCATCAGTTAATTAGCTTGACTTCCTGAGACAATACTACACCTAACCACATTACTCATCGTAATGTATTATCTAACAACAGAGATTGAACGAAGGTATCCATGATTCTAAGCGTTTAATCTCTTTATATCTTCCATTCACGTCTACCAAGTCCTAAAGCTGTAAAGTGGAAGAGAATAGATTTGTGAATAAGCATAGTTTTATTGGACACTAGTAACTAGTGTGGTTTGTCTAGTCCTTAGTTTGGTGCTCGGTGGTAACGTCTCTGACTATAGGCGGCACTAGGTGACGCCGGGTCGAATCTAAGAAGGGACATGAGTTCCTTCAAGGTTGCAGATACGCCTTGATAACTGACTAGTGAGTGCCAACTAGCACGAAACCTAGGTAGTGTCCAAGGTTTCCTGACGATTGCCTCCAACCATCTAATATAAACACACTTTAGATAGGTAGCTGGGTATCATGAATGAAAAGAGGTGACAAATACTTAGCGGGCCTTCTGTATCTGTGTTGAGATTTCCCAGGCAATCAGCTTGCTGATTGCTGATGCTACTTACATCCAAACATTTCACTCCATCTTTGGAGTATAAGTCGTGTCCTGTGACGTTATTTTACACTTGATAGGGATGAAACAAATGCTATACACGTCTAGGTTTTCAATCAAGGTGTTCAGAAGACTGAATCTGAAATTATATCTTATGAACGCCCTAAACCAAACAGAAATTATCTTGATAACAACTCAATTTCTCAAAATCAAATGGAATCACACCCGTCTATATGTCTGAGTTTTGACATACGACTTTACACAGAAGTGCAGTAAGTCAAGCTGTCACAATTCTTATAGCACATGAAGGTAGAGGAAAAGAAAAATTTAAAACATGCCGCATTAATGGATCTGGGAGATTAAAAAGGGTGAATGCATCTGAGCCATAAAGAATAATTTTGAGCCATATCACAGACAATCTCCAATACGTTTAAAGTAAAAATGAATTAGAACAGAGATATGAGAAACCCGCGACGGACAGCAGTAATGGCTAACACCCTAGGAAACTCTTTATAAGCATCATTTGGTAGTGTCTCGATAAGTACAATGTGCTTTACACTGGCGTACCATAGGAATTTAAGACCGTCTTCCGCCTAAGGAATATGGCGAATGTCGGAGATCAGTATGTTAGAAAAATGAGGATTTGGCCAAAGCATTCTTATATAGACCTGAAACCTACCTGGTTATCAAGTTTACTTCAAATCAGCTCCACTTAGTATATGTACGGCTAGGAATCTTAGAATCTTAAATGAAAAATCAGGGAACTCAATACTCTCTTGGTTTTCACAGGAAGACTTGTTTGCTCTTTTGATAACCTACGGTCACCTACACTAGTCTATGACTATCTCAAATATTCACAAAAATTACCACTGTTATCGTAAGTCTTCTCTGGAGTCAAACCATCAAGTCCTGTTGCTTCACCAATTTTAAATTTAGAGACATTCCATAATCCATCAGCCTAAGGAAACACACGAAGGTGAAAATATTAAGTAGTCTGAAGACTGTTTTCCTAATAACAAAAACAGGTGTAAATAGGCAGATGTCAGCTGTGGCGCTAATTTGGCTTTCTGCCATCACATGTTGTCTAGTAGTTATATTTTATACATGCGCGTCGGTGGTACAGTGGTTAGGACTCTCACCGACCATGAGCATGGTCCGAGGTTCGATCCCCTGCCGACACACACCTGATATTTATGGTCGGCCAACAAATTTTGGGCTACCTATATCCATGCTGAAAATTCCATACTTGTGTCAAAAATACAGTGTGTAATCAAGCTGTAATCAAAAATATAAAAAGATAATGTAACCTTGATCCTAACCAAACCGTAATACCTACCTTAACCCTAATCCTAACGAGTTATTAACGTTAGTAGCTCATGCGTTTACATTGTCTGAACAGTACTTAAAACGCGTTCATATTTGTGGCACAATAATGAGGTGTCGTTAGCCAACGACTAGCATGCGTTCAAAGTCATCGGAATGTTCGCCGATGTTCCTTTCTATTCTGAAAGCACTGAAAAAATTCGGGGGTGTGATGAAGATATATCAACACTCGGTTTTTCTCATTTGGCAGTGAAACAGTTCCAAAATATTCATAGATTATTTGGCTTGGCATTACATGCAAAGTATTGCAGCTCCCTTTAGCAAACTTAAGCAGCTGTCATGACATAATCAATGATGTATTCACCATAGATTGGAGCCATATGAATTCATGAGTTCACAGATCTGTCGAATATATTATTAGAACATAGTTTTGTCCAAAACCTGAGGACAAAATAACCTATGTCATCGCCAAACTAATTTCAAATAATAGGCTGTCTTCAGATTTTTAAAAATACACTGCTTGCGTAGTTAACTATTATTTAGGGTGATATATATTATCCACAAACCAACGTTAAGATGCTTTATTTGCAAGCCAAATGAAGCGTAGGGAATTTGAGCTTCGCTAGGGAGCAATAATAAATTTGAGTATTGTTCAAAAGTGCCGGACTATCAGTGCGAAATATCTAGTTATGTCGAAGTTTTTGCTGACATGTTATGTTGCAACATTTATATATTTAGATTTAATCTTATACAACACCGGACTAGTTAGAAAACAACTCACCCGGTAAGCATTCTTAGGATTCTCTAGTTTTTTAAGTAATTTCTCTGCTGCATTAGTTTGATGACAGCGAGGCTTTTTAACCTGAAAAAAATCACACCTCAGGACAACAAAACGTACTTGTTTCGACTTTTTTGAAGGGATAATAGGCAAATCTGTTAGTGCACCTTCGGCCTCAACCATAGGGAGTTTAGTAATCGACAAACAGAAATACTACAATGATAATAGACGGATACAGCTGGTAGGCTCCATCGTAGCGCATATCACCAAAATGTTTACTTACGCTACAGTGTTTCAGTGGTCAACAACTAAAACAACGGTGAGCAGATTGTTTTGACTAATGACTAGAGTACCCGACTGTTGAAATTTTTCGTGAGTCAAGGGTATCTGAAACATCTGTTAGGTTTTAATAGCAAAATTAAAAAAAACAGCGATCTAAAGAGAATGGCTGCATCAACGACAAATGGCTAATTGGAGTGGTGGAACTGAAGTAGAGTTTAGAACTCATAACATGGTAAGAAAAGTATAGGAAAGTTTATAATGTCCTTGTTCAACAGTTTTCGAAGCATATAATGTTGTTTACCTGGCTTCATTGCCTTGCTTTGATTGGAGCTCACTGGTAAGTTTGTTCCTTTGGATGACTATTCTTTAACTGAACCGTTCTCATATTAATTATAGCCTCTTTAGAGTGAAAAATCTATATTGACGGGTTTTGATTGGCCTCAGTATAGAGGCCTTACTTTTCAATCAGCTTCAGGAGCTTCATGAAGCGATAAGATTTATAGGTGGTAAATTCATGTGGGCTGGACTTATTTATCACTCTGTTAAAATTTCGCTTGGAAACTTTTTTGCTAGTAAGTTTTAATAAAACTGTGTTGTATGTTATCTGGGTTGATGGTTATTCCCATCTTCTGTCTAGGTATGTTGGTGTCCGCGTTATGTGATCTGACTGCGACACACTCATAGCATATTGGTTACAACGATTAGTGTTTCAGGCGGACTGTATCAAAATATCGGTGTAATGAGGAAGATAGGATAGTTGGAGGGTAATGCCATTTAAACAAATCGTTTACTCCATTTAGAAGCTGCATCTTTCGCCATAGTATCATTTAATGAAGACTTCACGTCTCAGGATATCAATATGGCCTATTTTCGTGTGAAGAACAGTACTATTTGATAAAATAATTCTCTCAGTACTTGGAAATCACCTGTAAATGCTATCAGAATCGTCTGTGGGAACCTAAGTTATCATTTAGATGTGCTTTTCACCCTATCTGTTGCTGGACAGGAATTGTGTTAATTTGAATGTTTATCTCTTAGCGGATTTCATATTTATTGGAACTGAGTGGTGTAGTGTACTATAGGTTGTGTGAACTCGGTGTATCTCATCTGTATTTATATTGTGCTATTGTCTACTTAGCTGACTGATAGGATAACAAACGAAGGTGGTTATCACGATTATTGCCAGTACGGTGCAGTGGAGAAGGCAATTACTCGTTTAAATTTCCTTGCTGTTCCAATTAATGCACTAAATCATTACACGGTATGACTATACGCATGAGTCGTGTGATTATGAGAACTGAATCTATTCAGCTTTATTATCATTAATATGAATTTATTCTCTTTTACAATTTCCACTGACTGTGTACTTAATGCTGCAATATTTTTGATCACCAATAGTGGAGATGGATTTCTCCTGAGATTTCCATTTAGACAAAGCAGTACAGATGCGCTATGACGAATGAATTTTCTAGTTTGCATTATATGACATTATTATTCTCATCAACACAACAGGTCTGTGTACTTTACAATAGTTGAAGTGTTTCATTATGTTGTTAGCACTGTGCATAGCTGTTTAGAGTTGAGGCATGTTCAGCTTATATTTGATGCCTATAGTCTCCTAAATGTGAGAATGTGATTTCTGTAGGATTCACAAAACCTTGTGGACTAGACATTACTGAGATTGTGGATTAATTTCTAAGTTATACATTTGCAATACTTCATTTCATGTAAAAGTATTTAGCGTGAAGTTGATCTGCATGTAAGCTTGATGAGAGAATGACGCTTCAATAGTATGGATGTTCCGGAGATTGTCTTGAAATTTGCGTATAATCCTCAAATACAGGAAAACATATGATGTCTATTTATGTATACAGCGTCAACATAAATATCACCTGTAGACTACAGATACATTTATCTGCATGAAATATTACTTAGTGTTAACAGAATCAGTGTATTCATAGTATATGCTAATATGTAGAATTATCTCGTGTAACTTCATGTTGTGCTAGTTCTTGCATGTACTTTATTTTTTTCAGGTATACGGAGGTTGTGAATGTGAAATCAGCGGAAATATCACTCGGCCAAACTAACGTTAATACTCTTCATCAGAATTTTCCTTTGTAGATTAATGAAATGTTTAATATACTTTTGATTTCTACTTCCTCTAGACTTTTTCAATTCGTTGCTATACTATGTGCTTTTGTAATAAGTGAATTAGGAACAATAAACGCTAAGCTTAGTTAGTGGGATAAGGAGATTTACTGTAGTATTATGAGACTGTTACTTTAGCCATTAATAGGATTTTGTGTCTGTTTCTACACAATAGTACGTAAAGGCTAAGTGGGATTTAGCAAGTTGAATAATAATTCTGTACTGTTCAGTGTGCTGAAGTCTCCTTATCTAGCCAGTTACAAGTCTGTATACTGTTAAACGCCAAGTATGTAGTACAAAAAATGTAGTAACTTAGGCTTGATAGCCACTTCACTAATCTGTTAATATGCAGTGACATCATCAAATAGACTGTTCACTTGACAATGAGCTAAGAAACAGCTTTTATTTATTTCTAATATGCCGTTGAATCATAGGATGTTATCTAATATCCATCATTTCTATGATCAACAACTGCGGTATTTGCATATCTACTTTATGGATATTGAATAACTTACGCCTTCATGCATCTAATTACCTCCAGTATTCCCTGTTCATTTGATGTGTGTACACTCAACAAGTCTTTCATAAATTCTCCCACAAATCCCAAGGTTTCTGGTGTCACAAGTGTTAATAATAGTTGCTTCCTTGGTTTCAATGCAAATGACGTATATACGAACTAAGGAAGAGTTACTCTTACTCAATCCTCAATCTCCACTTAAAGCCTTTAACGATCCCAAACAATTCTCCCATAAACACAGTAGAAGCACTTTAGATGCAGCTGCAGTCTTGCATCACATTTTCTCCAGTATAGACAATGGGGCTAAATTCACTGCACCTTCTTAGATTACACATCTGCTTTCGACTCAGTACCTATAGATATTCTGTTAGATAAGCTTGCTGAAACTCAGACTGACTGTTGGATTGTTAGATGGCTTCATTCTTATTTATCAGAGAGAAGGTAGTACACTGAAGGTCAGCCAGCAACAAAACCTGAAACCAACAAATGGACTGGAAACAACTGCTTCTGCCAGCCAAACATCTTCATGTGTATAATTTCCAAAACTTCTACATGGCACTAATTCATTAATAGCTGAAAAACAACTAAAACCCTGCAGTCACTTATGAATGAAACGTATGAAACAATAACAATGAAACGAATGTACTGACCTGGTGGTAAAGACTTTCAAAACCAAAGAAATAATTAATTTTAACAGCAACGGAAACAAAAAATGAGGTGAAACGCAACATTGTGAACAATACGCATAAAGATAAGTCGTGAATAACTGTAGGATAAACGGAAAAACCAACGCATAGACGGGCGGCTGCGGAACTGCGACCCAACATGGCCGACTATTTTGAACGAAAATGACCTTTGGGCGTCTCGCTCCACCAATGACCTTGAACGTTACGGATAATTTCAGCCTTCATGTGCGAAACCAGTAAAAGAGTTAAACTTGTGAAGCTATATATTTCCATAAAACCATTGAACTAGAGATTCAACATCATTCAGTATTAAATAATGATCTCCATTCAGACTAACCTATCAGGCTGAATGTATGACATCAGGCGCACACGTCGTTTGACATGCTCTTAATTTCCATTGTCGGTGAATGATCTCCACGTAGAGAAGCACTGGTCGCAAGTTAAGAAGATCGATACATTTTGTATTTCGGACCATTCAAAGGCCATTGTAAATTGGCTTTCTAACTGTTCTCAAGTCCGCATCCAATAGCTATATTTAGATTGAAGACTGACATATGCATACAATGATTTCATTAACACAAATGATTCTGTGAAAGTGAAGCAACTCAGGGCTGATCACTCCTAAGGTTACTTGAGTCTACCACCAACTGCGACTCGTCCACCACCAGTGGGTGCACATTACTCATGAACACAAACTAACTGACAAAAGATTAAGTCCCGAATACTAGAAAGCTGGCGAAATCCGCGGAAAGCAGCAAGTTAAAACAGAATACCCGTGAGTGAAGCACTGAAAACAGACCCTGAGACCTTAGGGAATATGCTAGGATCATCACTGTAGGAAATACGCCAAGAAGGAAGTCAAAGTGGCTGTCCGGCGGAAGAAATGCTACCTATTAAGACTGAGGGATAAGAGTCACTTAAGCCCATGCACGAGTTGGCACTATACCATACTCCTATTTGCTTCAAGCAAACTATTGAGTCACATAATCGCGGAGTTGATCGGATGGAGAAATTCTCCCCGAATAAAGTGCATTCAGTGAAAACTTAACACGCGCATATGAAGTTGCAACACTATGCATCATAGTCGAACAGAATCTAGAAAGGCAGTCAACACCGTAACTTTGACAACAGCTTCCGCACCATGATATGTAGTACCGCGAACATACTAGGCAAACTTGAGTTTTCCCTCCTATAGATAATCGATGAAAGTCTCATTGTGGCCTCCTCGAAAATGTATATCGCATCGCCTGTCACTTTGACTCTTCCGGCCCACACAACCAGTGGTTGCAAGGGGTTATACCAAAGGTAATCGATGTAGTATTTTGTAGTAAACTATTTGAGAAGATTCACTAGTTACTCTCACTCCTGACTCGGCTAGATAAAGTGATTTCTAACTGACTGCATATGAATAAATAAAATTCATTGTGCCTCGTGGACCAAGGCAAGTTACGGGTGAGACTTTTGATTACAATGTCTCAACCTCTTTTGTTTACAGTCCACATTAATAATACATGTATTGTCCCACTAACGCCAGAGCTTCTCTGTGC